TCCAGCTCCCTCACTGTCAGGGCTTCCTGGTGTCTCTTTTTCCACCATACTCACATTTATAGGTCCGTTTTTGGTCTGAGCTTGCCTCTGGCCCTGCTTCATAGCTCCCCGGATTTTATTTGGAGGATTCTCCTTCTCTGGGATGGAATTTTTAACAGAAAGGGGATTGGGACTCACACCTGAGTACTGGCAATTAAGAATACTGCTTCAGAAATCGTCTGTGGGGGAAGCTGGTGGCAGGGAGGGGGAAGGAGAAAGGAGGAAAGGACTTGGAGTAGCCGCATTCTCTAATGTGCAAGGTGTGCAAAATTTACCTTTTCCCTGAGAGGAAGAGCCCGGGTCAGGTAGCTGAGTTCATTAACATCAACCTTGCAAGGCCCTGCCTTAGCTGAGTGCTGTGACTGCAGCCTGGTTCCTCTGACTCTTGGGAACTTACAGGAGCATTTCATTGTTGTCTAATTTTATAACCAGTGCAAAAGGTCAGTCTCCATCTCTGAGCCAGGGAGTCTAAGGCTGTGAATACTTCTCCGGAAGTGGAGCAGCTCTCACTGCTGGGGATGGAGCTCCAACCTGAATAGATAGGGAAGAGTGTTGCCCCAAGGGGCTTAGCTCCATGGGGTGCTGTCTGGGAGAAGGGAGCACAAGTACCCAATGACAGAGCAGGATTTCAGAGATCATTTGTATGGCAGCTTAGAGCTTTTTACATGTGGTTTGCCACCTAGAGGAAAGAGTAACAAGCACTCGGTGTCACAGCAGTACCCAATACTGCCAAGAAGTGGCCCTTATCAGGATCTACCTTCCCCATGCTCTATGTAGTGCACTTTTTAAATGCTTCTTTTAACTATGTCACTGCAACTAATGATTCTGCCTGAGCGCAGATATATTTGAATATATAAGTATCTTGGAGAGCTGCTCATGGGGCTGCTGTCTGTGTCTGAGTTTAAAGAGAAGGAGGGGGGGGAAGCTCAGAGAGGATGGGAAGGGACTAGCAAGGAGACAAAAGTACAGACTAAAGAACCTATAAATATAAGGAATGCTTGTCAGGCAGCAGTGCTGTCTTCTGCCCTCAGTTCCAGAAAGCTCTGCTTTGTCACCATTCTCCTTGGCACTAGAGAGCAACCAGGGGTTTTCCTCAGGAGCTGTCAGGTCTCTGGTAAGCTATGTTATCAAGAAGAGATCTGAGCCACAGGAGGGGTTGACATGACATTGCAGTGTGGTGAGGAATGGCTAACCCTCTTCTGCTAGAGCCCTGCTGTGGTTCAGGGTGCTCAGCAGGCAGCAGAGGTCGAGTGGTGCTCAGCAGGGAGAAGTTTCACTCTGGTGAGCACGTACTGTTGCAGGGCCCCATGAGCTCCCTAACAAGCTGTTCAGCGCACCTCTCAGTACACACACAGACGTCCTGATGGTGCATGGTCCTCATGCATCCACCGAAGCCACACTGTTTGATTGCACATCAGGACTCAGCCATGCGAACAAGAACAAGACACTTGACACAGGAGCATTGGATGAGTCCCTATGAGAAGTCTGCAGTAACATCCTGTGCAAACAAGACCTTACTCAGCAACTTGTGCATCATAAATCCCAAAGTAATGAAGAAAAGTAAAGCAGCCTTCCTAGCCCTGGTTTGCAGGGGCACAGAAGATTGTAAGACAGGGCCAGAAAGAAACAGAAATTGATAGAATAGAAATTGGGTCCTTTGCACTTGTCAAAGCAAAGAATTCACTTCTGAGGGTCTTTGGATGCAGCTTCCAATGAACTTCAGGAAACAGAGCTACTCAGGACTCAGTTCTTCCTTTCCTGTAGCTCCTTGTGTCCTGTCCAGCCAAGAGTTGAACCCTCCAAGAGATTAAGGTATTGCCTTTCTCTGGGATGTCTGAACTAGGGCTTAGAGCATTTTACACATAGGGAATTTTTCCCAAGGCTCAAATGCATTTATGTTTCCAGCTTTCTGATACCGGCAATGTCTGAGCTTCTTGACTTTATTCGTAAATCGCTGTATCCTGAGATACCCTACACTTTCTTGTACCTGTCACACAGTTGTAGGTTGTCTTTCAGGAAAATCCTTGTAGTCCTACCGACTGTCATCAGTTTACTATGATCCTTCCACTCTCTGCCAGGTGTCAGCAGTACCATGAGATCAGTATGTTTGTCTAATGATGATTTATTGTAGTAACTGACTTCTTTCTGGTTTGGTTTAGAGGTTTACATAAACTTCCCTCTGCTTTCTGGGTTCTCTTGCTCCTGACATGCCATAGTTTGAATGGTCATGCCAACCCAGACAAAACTAGAATCCCTTACCTTGAGTCCCTGAGCAGTTTGTAGGCAGTTCCTGATGCATGTTACATGTTGGTAGTATGATTCTAGAAATCTGTCCACACTGGCTGCAGAACTGACAGGGAATGAGAGCATGTAATCTGAAACTCCCCGCTGCCCCATTTTCTTCATCATCTTCTGTTTTCCTCTTCTCTCTCCAGCACTGATGTTGAGACCCCTAGAGATATAAAATAATTTGACTAACCAACATTTAAGAGGTACGGTGATTGCAAATAAAAAGGTTATGAAATACCAGTGTTATGTGGCTAAATGGCTAAAAGGGGCATCTAAAAAAGTATGTGTTCACAGCAAAAATATCTAGGGATCTTACTTTTTTCTACTGATACCACTGCCTGTCACCTGAACCTGGCTCGGCTTTCAGCCCAGCCAGCAGATGAGAGCTACAGGTTAAGTCAGGAGTTAGGGTCTTTCTCTGGGTGATGACAGCCACTCTTTTGTTTCGTGTGTTTTTTTCAAAGTTTGGGTATGGTTTGCAGCAAACAGCTTTTCCCAGCCATGCCTGATGTAGGCGCTCAGAATGAACTCTGCAGCATGTGCATGCCCAGAGTAATTGAGCAGAAATTACGAAGGGGATAATCTATGGTAAATTCCAAGAAAATCTTCCTGATAGCATAACCAGGCTGCAGCATCAATTCCTTGAAGAAGTGATGAAAGACCTATCACTAGGCACATTTAAAATAGAATTGGACAGAACACAAGTACATTTACAACAGGGAGCAATCCTGCCCTGGCCCCTAGGGATGCACAAGATAACCTAGTAGGTCTTTTCTGTTTCCAGAGTCTTGTCAATGTTGGGAAGCTTCCTCCTGCTCTGCTGCCTGTCATGCTGCTGTCGGCTTGAAAGTGTTTTTCCCGGACAGCATGTAGAAATTCAGTGTTCTCCCTGAATTAAGCAGCAGTGCTCTGTATGCTTTGGCCTGTGGATGTCCAGAGAGTGCTGTGGCTAGGGAAAGCTGGCAGTTCCTTTCATTAGTAGGTGGAAAGTCTTCTGCAAAGAGGCTTTCTCTGTCTATCTGAAGCCTCATTTCCAGCACTAATGCAACAATAGGGAGGGCTCTGGACATCATTTTTATTATATGGCAAAACCTAGGGAAGTTCATTTTTCCCCTTGACATACAGACTTATACTACAGTCTCAATTTATCCTTCTAAATAATGTAGGTGGCAGTGGCTGATTCACATTAGTTTTTCTTCTGTTCTGATGATATGAAAAACTGAGTTTGACCTCTGCAGCTTGAACCAGCAAGAAGGGAGAAGGCAATTTTACCAGCTATTCTCAGTGCCACTCTCAGTGGTCGTTTTGAACTGCGGAAGGCAGAAATGAGTTCAAATTCTTACAAGCAAAGGGGTTAATGTTTTCTTTTCGTTCAGTATATGGTTTCTGAGCAGAGTTCCCTTCTTAGAGGCAATCCTAAGCAGCAGAATCTGAGCACTTGGAGGCATTTTAAAAATCATTCCCAATTGCCTGGGGGAAGCAGGCTGAGCACCAGCCACTTCAGTGTCTGGCCGATGGCCTTTTGCTCCTGCAGTGCCAGCTTGCGGTCATATGCATCTGCTTCTTTCTTTCTGTGTCTCCATCTTTTAGTCTGCATATGAACTCCCCATTGGGGGAGTTCAGATGTGAACAGTTTTGCAGTCATCTGTGCTAGGCAAGATGACTAGATGAAAAACCAGCCTTCCAAGCCAAGTGGTGCTGGACACCAGTGGAACAGACTGAGCAGATGAGAGAAAACCACCTCAGACCAGCTCTCACTTCTCCATCACAGACACTCCAGAGGTTCCCCACGTAAATTGCTATTCTGTGTGCTCTGGTGATTGTTGCAATTATTTGTATATGTCCCTCATGCACCTGGCACTTTAGGGATGGGATCAGATCATATCCCAGGGAACACATGGTCGAGGCTAAGCAACTATTCCTGACCCAAAGCTGGAGGATTAGGCACTGCTGAGACAAAGGGAAGGGTGTCTTTCACCTAAACACCATGCAGTGAATGGGTGTATTGCATTGGTGTGTATCTTTGATGTCTCAGACTGAGCTTCTAATCTTTTTTATCATATATAATGAAATCTGAAAGGACAAGGAGACCACTGATGTGGAGAAAGCTGACGAAGGGCAAAGTGTTATCGCAGAATGAGGGGTTCCTGTTGGAAGGAGGTGTAGTGAGGTGAGAGAGACGGGACTCTGCCAGTTTCTGCAGGAAGGCCACAATTTGTTGAGCATTTGCTAGGCTTTGTGTGCATCAGATAAGAAACAAACAGCTACAGTTAGTGCTTTATGCTTGCCTGTTTTGATTAAAGGCTTATTAAAAGTGCTTTTATTAGACAGGAGTCCCATAGAAAGCTGTAATTAATAGGTGTGCATGTATGTGTTTTTTTTCTTTATTGAAGCAATGGATATAAGTGGTTTGGGTAGTTGGAAATACATCAGCAATGGGTTTCCTGTACATTAAAAAATAGCAGTAATCAATTTCACAAGCTTCTGACGGCAGACTGGGTACCTTTTGGCTGCATGCTGGTACCCTTGGGTCCAGGGAACACCACCACACTATATTTGTCTAGGAAGAGACTTTAGAAGTGTGGGGCATGGCCTTCCTTTTCTGTGGCTGGTTGTTTAATTACTAGATTTGCCATAACCTGAACTGTCTGTGTCATTTTGTTTGTGTACAGGAGCTCTGCAAATAGAGAACAGCAAGGAGTCAGACCAAGGCAAATATGAATGTGTTGCAACCAACAGCGCAGGAACCCGCTACTCTGCCCCAGCAAACCTTTATGTTCGAGGTAAGAGCAGCTTCCACCCAAGGTGTTCACTTTCCTCCTGCCCAAAAGGCTCCATGACTTTCAGTGAAGGAGTGTGTTCCCTGTCTCAGTGCCCTGATCACACTTTGTGGTTTGTGTGATGTGGCCTTTTGCTCAAAGAATGGCACAAGATCTTGGATCCACATTGGATTTTACTCATGTCTTGAAATCAGTTTTTGCTGTTTATATGGTGTTATGTAAAATGCTGAACTATGGGCAGAATTTGAATTCCTTTCCCTTGAACTCCTCACCCTTGTGTCATAGTTATTTGAATTGGGATTGAGGAGTGCTTAATCCTCTTAGTATAAACTCACCTTTGGTGGAGTAGTATAAAACTGGTCATACTCTGATGAGTGAGAGCTGCTCAGCTATAGGTGAGCTGATACTTAGGCCTCTGCTTCGGAATGTGTATCTTTAAAAACTGAGCAGCTTTTTGTGGTTGTCCTAATCCATTTTACATGCATCAGTGATTGAGCCTCCGAGTATTAATGGCTCATACTGGGAACCTGCTGGAAATTAGCTGCAATTCATGTAAAGTGATTTTTCTAAGAGTTATGCTGTGTTGCTGGTTAAAAACTGTTTTCAACATGCCAGAAGAACTAGGTTTTACATTAGGACAGTCTCCTGCCAGTATTCTTTCTGTACATAAAACGTATTTGAGTTAGCTTGGAGAGAAGAAAGGGCTAAATTCCCTGTATACTTTCTGTTAATTTCAGCAGGGAAAAAAAATTTGCTGCTTCGTATGAAACTGTATAACCACAGCCACTGGCAAGGAACCCCTGGGAAATGTAGTTATGGATTTTCCCGAGAAAGAAGATTCTTGTGCTGATGCAACCCATTGTTTGTTAGGAAGTTAGAGCCAGATTTTATTTCCACATAGTACATCAACTATCTAATATTAAATCTCATCTTCATTTCTTCCTTCCTCCGTTTTGAAGAAAAAAAAATACAATCTTAAAATCGTATATGCATTGGTTAGTATGGAAAGGGGACATGGGAATGATTAAGTCTTCACCTGCTGTGTGTTTGCTTCTAGGGGTGGCTTCTGGCATTGTTTTCTTTGCTTATTCTGGGGGACTGCTTTTTCATTTTTTGCAGCACAATTTGGATTATAGGAGTCTTTGGAAGACTGAAGTATCCAATTAAGCATATTCAGAAGATGAAGCTGTATCTGTGCAGTGGAATCATTCATTTCACTCTCACAGTGTAATTAAGGATGATTTTAAACTCCTTGTATTCTTGCAAGTTCAATTTTTCAGGCAAGCTGTACTAGAACTCATCCCAGATTGTCACTTTGCACTCTAAGGAAAGGGTTCTTACTTACCAGGTCGGCTGTTGTTGCACAGGTTTGTGTAGATGCTCAGCCATTTTGCTGCAGTGTTTGGGATGCTTTTTCTTTCTGTGACATGCTCAGACTCTCAGTGTTCTTTTTTCTATAGAGGTGTGGCTGAAAAAAGGCACAGGAGCCTCAAGAGGTAGAAAAACCTCCTCTTAACAACTTTCCAGTTTCCTATTAATGAACACTCTTAATTTAGCAAGTGAATCCTCTAGGGCTAAGGAGTGTACTGAATTTTACACTTGCCTTGCTGCTCAGCAAGGTTCATCTGTCCTGTTTGAGCTGGGCATGGGCTGTGGATGGTCTGCATATGTGAGAGGATCCTGATGTTCACCGAAGAAAGCATGTTTTTAGGCATATGCTTTGCTGTTAGCTGTCATTTTTTACACATAAATTTTTGGAATGAGCCTTTTTATTGCACATAATCTTTACGATATCAGTCATCAGCCTGTGTGATCCTGATAAAGCCTTTCTGTATATTTAAGACAGGATGCCCTATAAATTAATATCAGATGAAACTCACTGTGCATACTAGGTAGTAGATGGTATTTCTGTTTACAGTTTCTGGTAGCAGATGTTATACAAAAAAAATACCATACTGTTACTATATTAGTTAATGACTTCAAAAAGTTATTGAAGCCAAGAAAAATACAGGCAGGGAAAAGAATGAAAATATCTTACTTTGTCAAGTCCAGGAGGCAGAATGAAAGAATCTCTTTTTTTTTTTTTCTTCCTGTGGTAGCCCTACAGTTGTCATTAGACAGATCAGTGACTTCCAATAGGGTCTTCAGAAAGTGTTTGCATCTTTAGTAGAAAAGACATTAATTAATGCTAAGTTACATTGGAAATTGTGTCGGCTACACCACCAGTGCATGGTGGTTTCATAATGATTGCCCTCATTGTGGTGCATACCCAAGAAGCTGGGCGCTTTCTGGGAAAGCATGGCTGAGTACTGAGCAGCGGTACTATATTCCACCCTGTGTCATTCTCAGGACTGTTATGCCTGCTCTCATTTACAGGCTATTTTTTTTTATATAGTTCAAATGTTTGTTTGCCTCTAGACTCTTGGGGTTTATGTTTTTGATCATGTCCTCCCCTTTCCTAGCCTCCCAGGTAATCCTCTCCCAGTGTGCTGTGTTCGAAAGCACAGACTCATTAGCTTCTCTATCATACTTTTCATGCTAACAAAGGAAGATGTTGGGTGCTGAGGAGTAAGCAGGCACTACTCAGGGCTTCCTATATCAATGAAAGAACATGAGGAGGAAGGAGCAGGCTACACCAGTGTCTTGCCTCTGAATCCTTTAGAGCCAGCACTTCTGCACAGATGGACTTCATTAAAAGTTAAAACATTTCCACACCAGGGATTTGTAAAGGAAAATGGATGCATTTTCCTTGAAGCTATTATTTTCATCTTGCTAAGTGTGCTGGAAAACAACCCACATAAGCCTTTTGCTGCTGGACTGACAGGTCTATCTGTCCGCTGCTGCAGACCTGGGATGGGGACAAGTGCTGGGAACTAGCTGCCTCCCAGTGCTGCTCTTCAGCCCTCCATGCATGGAGGGCTGCAGGAAACATCCCAGATCATTAGAGGAGCAAGGGCAGACTGAAAGCAAAAGTGGGGTGCATGCCAGGGCAAGGTGGAGATCTGGGGCATATCAGGGACTTCAAAGGAAGCACAGCAGCATATTTGTGTCCCACCCTTTCAGAACAAGTGTGCTTGCCAGTGCTGGTCTGGATGTCATTACCAACATGAAGGACCTCTCATCTGTTTGTGATCCATGGTTACATGTACCACTGTACATCCTAACAATTATTAGATTTGGGACTTGATGGTGCTGCAGGGAGAAAGGAAGGGAATAGAAACATACGGAAGATGTGATTCTAGTAATCCAGAGAGCTTAATGTCTAATTTAGCTGCAAAAATCCAAGAAGTTGATTCAAGACATATAAGAAATTGATTGAAGAGTAGAAGGAAGTTTGCACCTAGTGCGGAGGAAAAAAACAGGTGATGTCATTTTGTCATGCTCACTGAGGTTATAGTATAATTGCTCTGATTCACCTGCACTATTGGGTTTTTATGAACACATTTCACTCTTCATTTGCCTACAAAGAGACAAAGAGAAGCATTTCAGCCAAAAGACTTGTATAGGTGGTGGCCTGTGTGGTCCTCCCTTCAATTAAAGGCACTGTTACTTGACTCCGTATGTGAAAAGTTTTTTCTGCCCTTTTCTTTCTTCTGCACATGGCTTTTTTTTTTTTCTTATATCAGTGAAGCAGATGAGCAGGAAGACTGTGCATGAGAATATCCTTATTAATACACTGTGGAGTTCACTAGGTGTGTTTCCCAGCGCTGCTTACAGCAGTGAGCAATGCAAATGCTATTAGAATAATACTTACTGGAGCATTGGCTGCATAATTCCCATCAAATGTGAAATCTGCTGCCTAGATTTCACTTCCTCAGTGCTGCACGCCTTTTCAGGCCCTCAAGGCATGATCCAGTGGGGCCAGTGCAGCAAGTTCCCTCACCCAAAATGCTACACATGCTGTGGAGAAGCCATCTGCACAGCTGCTTTTAAAAAAAGGCCATTTAAAACTGAATTGCCCCTCTGTCCTCAAATTGCAAACTAGTAAATCAGACTGCAGTAAATAGAAATTGTATTACTGCAAAAATCTGTGCTCTCTTTTTGTGTTTTCTGAAAAGCCAGGCTAGTATTTCATTTGGCCGTAGGGGAACTTGCTTGGAGTCTGAAGTTTTATTTGCCAGGTTTCACTAATGAGCCATCATCCAAAATGAAATGAGGATCGTGGCTCCATCCCTAGGAGCGATTCTCTGGCCTCCACAGGATTTTACACTTAGGGACTTGGCTGTAGCTTAGGCTCAGACACAGAGGGAGCTCACCGGAATGGCTACCTGCGGCTGTATTGTGCTTTACTGCAGTGGAGAGCTTGTGTAAATAATAATAATTCTGAATGATTGGCATGGGCCTGGAGCAACAAAACTTGAAGCCTTTAAAAAAGGACAATTTTTGCTTATATAATATTAAAACAGCTATAATAGCAACACCAGTCAAAGCTTGAGGGTATTGCCTGGAGAAGAGTAAAAGCTGAGGACAGTGGTCAGTCAGTAATCAAAACTGAGGATTTCTGAAAAATTGCTAACTAACAGGGAATACATTTGCTTACAACCCAGCTGCATGCACACTTCTGGCAGCATGGTCCATAAAACCTATCTCTTGTCAGGGCTGATGGGGGTGAAGTTACTTGACCAGAGAGGGGCACTGCCAGTGCTTGAGCGCCTGGCCAAGATCCCAAGACAAGCAGAGATTGGAGAGACTTGTGAGGGAAATGCCTGGATGACACGTAATACAAACAGGCAGTTGAATCAGACCAGATGACCCAGACTGCTTCTTCAGACAGATGTCTGCCCTGGACCATCAGAAGAAACAAAACCAGGCTGCTATAGAGGCCACAGAGTTACTACCTCTCAGCAGTTGGTACATGGCTGAGGAGGCTGCGGGTCTGAAGGGCCATGATCTCCCTGTGCAGTCCTGAACTCAAAATAGCGCAACATGAAGCAATAACACTTTAATGAAGAAAGTGCATTTGTTTTTACAGGATTTCAGTATTTTTAACTTCATTTCCTCTG